GCAGTAGATGATAGAAGGCTTCTTTTATCACTTAGCAATGTTGTAAAAGCAGTTCGAAACATATAATCCCAAACTAATCTCATTCTTCAAAACTATTCCCAAACTAATGCACTTACAAAATATATTCCCTTGTTAACTTACTTGTTATCATGTGGACTTCGAGTATGGAAAGTATTCACATTTTCAGAGGTACAATCCATATCAATAGATTTTTAATAACTTTTCAATAGTTCAAATGTTGCTACTTATGTACAATCTTAAAGATAAATAAAAATATTTTTCTACCTATTATTGAGTTAATTAGTATTTCTCACATTAGATTGGCTCATATAGCATGTTAATTTTGATATTTACACTGACCTAGTTATATTTTTTCTCCTATTCTTTTGGAATGTTTACTTGTACTTCAAACAATTTGAGTTTTTGCAAATTTCTTAAAATTTACAAAGTTAGGAGACTACCATATATAAAATTGCAAGTAACAAGTAAAAAAGAAAGGAACTTGTGATATAATAATCAAGAATAAAGCGAGGGAGGAATAACGGCAGCAAAAAAAAAGGTTCTTCAGCAAAATCATTGCAATTTGGAGGGTGATCAGCAATTTTAAAACACTAATTATGGATCCACTTTCCTTTTTTAAATTTGTTTACAGAATGTCCTTAATGCACTAAATAAAGAAAAACTATGTAATATATAAACAAAAGATTTACAAGTTATTTTTTTCCTTTGATGGGGAGTCGACATGGCAATAACTAGATTAATAAGGGAATAAAAATTGAAAGAGCATTACTTTTGGATTATTTTTCGAAAAGTAGATTAATTTAGCCAAAAACTCATCCAAGGGTCATAGTTTGGAGCAAATACATACCATAACATGATTCTTAGTTCTCCTCATCACATATATTGCTACAGAATTCCACTCGCCAAGGGAACAACCAACAAGCGGCCACGGAAACACGGCGATGAGATGCATTCAGACGCGCTCCAATAGAAGTGACCGGGTGCGCAATTTGCTAATGTGTTTTTGTTTTTAATCCATTAGCGAAGTGGTGGTGTCAACGATAAGCTTGTGTTGACACTTGACACTGAAACTCAAACTTCTGAAAATCCTAAAGTGAAAATTTGTCATGCATTTTATGTCTAAATCTCCACTTCTTTCCTGATACTGGGCATCCTAGAAACGCCATTCTAGTCCTGCATTCTCGTTTGGGCTACAACCCACATTGTCTGACTTTATTATTGTTTTAACAGTAATTCCCTTATCTAATACTGTGAATTCTATTTCAGTGTAGTCTGCTCGAAATGCTACTTATTAGTTAATACTACTAGGTATTTTCTTTCATACGTTAGCTAGCTCTTATTTTCTTCTTTATCGGGCAGAAATATTGGGATCTCTTAGGTTTTACCAAAGCCAAGCAAGAGAATCTAGAGGATTGGTCAAAAATGAAATACTACTACTAAGACAAAAAACCAAAACAAAAAATTAGTAGTGGAGTACGTAGGTGGAGAGTTGAGTGAGAGTCAATCAAGTCTTCTCATACTTGCTGGAAAAAGTTATGCTTCATTTGACTCGAAAGATGGAAAGCAACTAACTTTAGTTCTCTGACCGGATGCAAATATGAAATCTCATCTATGTTAGAATCCATATTTTGTGCTGGTATGCAAAATTTTCTAATAACAAGACTCGATTTCTTTAACAGCTAGATCATCGTATACTTGCCGCTACGACTTTAGAAGCAATTGGTGGCTTATGGTTCTCAACTCGGAAACTGGAACTTCATCCTGCCATATGCTCCTTGATTGGAAGTATAGTAGGCATGGCTGCTCTCCAGGTGTGTCCTACTAAGTTCTAGCAATCCTCGTTGGCGAGCTTTATCACAATTGTCTGGCCAGTTCCTTGGCATGATTGCCTTTGTCAGACATGCATGAATGATTTTACATTTATGTGTTTAATAAAACTTGCTCCATCGGCAGGTCACTTTGAGAGTATCAACTCTTCTGTCATTCGTATCTGTGTCATCTGGCAGTTGGCATAGCTCATCAAGCTGGAGCTCTAACGCTTCTAAGTATGATGCTTCTGCTCAATCACACCGTACGTCGGCCGATGTCACTTCTAAAGACTCTGTCTCCTGTTGTAAAAACAGTCACCTAGATGATCATCAGGACAATGTGTAGTAGACGGCGGATTATTTTCAGCTTCCGATATTTAGATTACTTAAAAAAAACTGCAAATGAGAGTTCTGAATGTAGCTGTTGTATGGAAGAAAGGTTTGGTGCAAGCCTCTCTTGCAGCTGCAATTTCTGTCAATCAGTGGGAATGCTCATTATTTTAGAACCATTGTGGTATTTTCTTTTTCCTTTTTTCTGTCACTTTTAGGAATTCCAACCTTTTGACTAGACTAACCTCTTAAAGCTGCGCAGAGTTTTTGCCCCAAAAATACGTAGCAATGTAGAGTTTTACGCCAAAAATATGTAGCCATGTAGTACACGAGGATTAATAATGGGATCTGCCGATAATTATCAGATTACGAAATTAATCGGACTACCCGTGGAGGATTTGTAGTGATTTTCATTTGATGATACACAAATGTTTATTTTGGCATCCCAATGTAACATAGTTGGTAATAAGCCAGGAATTAGAAATAGCTCGAAGTTTTATATCCAATGAAATTTACAAGTTTGTCTTCAAAGTGAGATAAAAAAAAAATTGGGATGAAAAAAACTATAAGTTCTCATCAATTATGTGGATTAATTCTTACGGAATGATATGAAACCTTAAAGGCTATAAGATAATAATTGAAAAAAAAACTCAAAAGAAAATAAGAAAGCGAAAAGTTAAATCATCTATAAATTTAACATTGAATTGGGTGGTAAAATCAATTTAACATTCTCAGGTACCACGTTCCTTGGTGGGTAGTGCACCCGTCTGATTAAGTGATAATCCTGTCCCTATCCGCCTCCCGTAGGTTCAGTTGGATCTCCCCCGTAGTTAGATTAGGATATAAATACAAAAATGATGATTGACAAAAAAAAATAAAAAAATAAAAAATTTAAAAAATTTAAAAAAATGCAGGGTTTATCAATTATACCCTCAACTCTGTCATCTCTCTTCAATGGCGGCCAGTAGTCACATTCAAGGTATGTACGACATCGCATTGAAGCCTTAGTTGCTGCGGTCACTTCTCAGGGAATACATCCCGGACGAAAAGCACCCATCAGAAACCTTTCGGACCTCTCTCACGTTGTTTCTGCCATCAAAACTCATTGTCTCCTCTCGGAATGAGCCCTATCTTCCACCGACCAAAAGCTCATTGACAGGTGGAACAGACTGATGCCCCAAATTCACCACCTTCATGCTCATTTCTTTCGGAAGGAGAATCACCATGAGGAAGCTTTTCAAATGCTGGATGGGTAGAGGTCCCAGAGGATTCTTTATCACTGCTGGTATATTTTCCAAGGTCATTGACATCTGTTTCATCACCATTTGCCAACCACCATTCGTACAGATCATCATCCCCAGACTCTGGCTGAGAAGGCTCCTTTCCTAGTGTGCTAAAATGAAATGAAGTGTTCTTTCTGTGATCTGCGAAGTGTACGTCTGGAAGGTTGAGGCTAGCACTACCATAATGGCCAACTGCCGATTGACGATCTATAAATGGAAGGGCCCTAGGATGTATGAGAACTTCCAAGGTCAAAAGAGCATGACAGCAATATTCAGAAATTTTTGTTCCAGATTCTCGACTGCCTGCAGTCACCAGATCACATAAATCTATGAGCAAGAAGCTGAGAAAAGTAGACTTTTTCAATTCTATTAACTTAAAAAAAAAAAAGAAAAAAGGTTCAAGTAGCTCTGCAGAAGAACCTCTTACAAATACCGTTATTCCTTCCATATCTTACAGGACTTACATACATAAGAAAAGTAGGTTTTACATACATAAGGAAATTACGCCATAACTAGCCAAGATAGTAGTACTCAATGATCCAAAAGAAGCACTTGCATGAGTAGTTAGAGATATTATAGCCTAAGGAGCTTTTATTTACTATTTTCTTGTATAAGTTTAGCATAGTTTTATCTCTTTTAATTCAGTGATCGTCTAAATAACAGAAAAGTTTTAGTAGTGCCCATAATTGTACTATCTTTCTCGTGGGATCGACTCGATATATGCCCTAACTACTAGTTGACCTGTATACTTGCAGTCAAAATGGGTGTAAATTGGATTTAAACTTGTACTTATATTAAAATTCCCGTCAAGTTTTTGTTACTGTAGCGAATTGATATATGTGAGTTAAAAGGTGATTGAAAAATGTGTTCATGAGAAATGTGATTGGAAAATGGGTGTAGTTGATTCACGGAAAAAGGTAATTGTTCAAAGAAAAATTGCTGTCCAAACAAGGCCTAAGACTTCCAATGACAAAATCCTAAAGAAAGCATTCCTCCATTCCTTTCATCAGTGTATACTCTGATAATCTTATTCTTGAAGGGTCCAAATTAAATCCAATTTTCTTCCATCTATCTGTCATGTTGCAGGCAATTCATGTGCCTTCTCTTCCCGAAAAGAATTTTGACTTTTGGAACAATTCGACTTTCAAGTCTTGATCTTTCCACGCGCGTGCAGGAGCAAAAGAAATTAAAAAAAAATTCTTGATCTTCCAGAATTCCAAAAGATGCCTAATCTTGATCATGTAACACGGCAGGAGTTTTACCCTTTATACATAATCAGTGGAAACTTTCAGACTTTTGGTTAAAGAAATTCATTACATGATACAAAGTAAGGATATGGTAGAATTGAAGACAGAGTTGGCACAAGACTTTACCATCATATTAGATACAACATTAATTTATGTAGTGTTTGCATGTGCTTTTTGTCTAATTGGAAGAATTATATGCTTAATAAGATTCTTGCACGCAATCTAATACTGGAAATTTGGCTAAATCAGGTATCATAAAAAAAGAAAGAAACACCAACACATTAGGAAAATGAGAAGATTACGGTCCGTAACTTGGTTGCAAGTGACGAACACAATCAGACCGTAGATTATATTCAATGAAAAAGGCATACCAGTTTGTCCGACAACGATGCCTCAATTAAGATAAATCAAATTTGTTCAGTGCAATGGCGACCTACATTGACTAGGTAGCTGGTTCCAAATGAAAACATGCTGCCCATTCAAGGAAAGTGAAGCCAAGGGATCTGCTATCGAATTTGGTTCTCGAAAGACATGAGCAACTGACACATGAAGCTGTTATAGAAGAGATCGAAATTTTGCCAACAGATTGCATAAAGGCCATTTTGCACCCACCGAATAACTAAGATGCACTCGAATTTGCGAATCAGCGTCCAGACATTTCTCTAGAAAAATTCCAACTCCACGTGTTTTCCAAAATCAGAAACCATTCAAAACATGAGTTTACAGCTACAGATCTACATAGTAGAAATAGCTGCCTCGAGCGCTACCAAGCTCCCCTCTCTTCACCTGAAACAAACGAAGGGACCCGCTGCTGCCCTCAGAGCCATTGCATTAGTTGCAGAAAAGGTTGGAATCTTAATTTCCTTTTGAAGTTTCATAATCTGCTTTGCGTTTAGTTCTTTAACTCTAATCTCCATTTCTTAGTGGATGTGATAGTGGTAGTAATAGTGATGATTTGAAGTTTTTCTCTGATGAATGCAGATACAATCATGTTAATACTTCCCAAATTCACTTCAGTGATGTGATAGAAACAAAAATATGCCAGGAGTATTCAAAACTAAAATTGAAACCAAATAAGAAATGCAATGGAAATTGCACATTGCGCCCGTATTGTTAATTGCATAAAAGGAAAAGTTTTTCCATGATCTAATCTAAAAAGTGACTAGGAAGGAATGAACTGAAAAAGGAGGACGAATGTCACCTCAAATGTTGAAAAATTCTTGAACATGTAATTTGCAAATGCAAGGCAAGAAGTATGATGTGGCTAGCACTTTTTCGATAGGATCCTTGGAGTAGGCAAATCCTATGTTTTGCAAAGTTGGCCATGAACATGGAGAAAAATTCTGAAAGAGAAACAAGAACTAAAGAGTAAGTTGACAAAATTATCATCAAGAAGCTGGGATCATATGCACAGCAAATGATGCTCCCGTTATTTGAGGCACTGGAGCATTCCAAGAAAATGAATCTAACAGAAGAACGTACCTTTACGCCCCCGAGGTCAAGCTCTTGCGACTGACAAGCAAGATTCAATATAGAATTAGCTCACTATTGAAAGCTATGCAGTTTATATCAGAAACCTTAGGGCCATTCTTTCCCTTCCTTTCTCTTATTATATGGTAATTTGGACAATGAAAACCATATTTTTCATGCATAGTGGAAGCAGGGGAGGACACCAACAACTCTTTTTTTAGCGACTAGAGCTAAGAGCAGTCAGCAATTTCCATATCTTCAAGATAGATGAAGTGTTGAAGACACTTGTAGGTCATTGTTCTTCAGCTCTTATGCTGCTCCAAGTGAAAGATGGCGGGGGTGAAAGACAGGAGCCAGTATTATGGAAGTGACTCTTTTTTTGTCAGTGCCACTAATATTGCAGTCTGACCAAGAAGGGAAACTCTGCAATATCCTCCATCAAAAGGATATGGTTGCAGTCTGGAGGCAACACCTAGCTCAAAAGCTCTCAGTTACATGATGTTGCCACATTTTTCAACATAAAGATGTGAGGAGGGCTTGCATCTTTCCAAGCAGCGAACTAAGCTCCTTGCAATACGTACTTCTGAAAAGAGGCATTAAATGATCATGGTCTCAATTCTACAAAGAATTGTAAACAATGATTTGTCTTTCAAATTTTTACATAATTCCTATGTAGAAAGTAGGAAGAGAAAGAGCAGGAAAGGCAACCACGGATGATCCCCCACTTACTGGTGGGCAAATGCCATCTTTGAGTATCAACTTTTTTTTCAAGAAGCGTGCTTGAATTACAAAAATTCATTCCAATTCATCAAAGGTCTACAGGGATATATGAAAATATTTACAATGAATACAAAGTGCAACATACCTAGAATATCTTGTTGCATAGGATAATATGAAAACATCAGAAGTAGAGCAGAGCATTAGAGTGGATTATGCAGCAAATACATAACTAAAAATGTGATTGTCATGGCTCTTAAGTCTAGATAGTTTAGGAGGTTTCAAGTGCACAGACTTTGAAATTGTGGCTGAATAACCATTAGGAACTTTAATTTTTTTTTCAGAATTTTGCAGAATAATTCTTTCTCTTTCGTAAGTATGTTACTGCACTTTATTAGTCTCTTGATGACTCTCTATCTTCCTAATAAAACCCCAAAATCCAATTACAAGGAAGAACAAATAAACCAAATTCAAGAGCCATCAAATGAAGAATGAACAAAGCTGAAAATAAGATGCTTAAACTAGACTAATAAAGTTTCTTAAACTCTATTTGGTTTATTATCACAATCCGAATCCGAATCCAAGAACTTGGTAATTACCAAACAACTCAAGTATCGCCCAATGTTGCCCTGTTTAGGAGCACATAATTTAAGCATCTTCAAGTTCAACAGCAGCATTAAAACTGGTTAAACAACTATTCAAATGGGGCAGCTATATTTTGAAAGTTTCTTTCTGGCAAAACAGCAAACAACATAGCAGACTTCACGTTTTTGGCCGGAAAAATATAACACTAAATGCTTGAAATCAGTCCAAACTCATGAAAAACAGAATAACCCACTTAATATCAGGGTGTTAGCCTTACAAACCTAAATTTCTAACCTATTTTTGCAAGGAAACTCAACAGAAAATTGAATCAAGAGATGGAAAAATTAGGCACAAAAAGCAAATAACTTTCAAAAATCAAATGCAGACTAACCGTTTGTCTGCCACCACAATCTTGCCTTTCTCTATCTTCAAATGTCCTAATTATCACTAGGTTCGAATGCCCTAATTCCTCTTCGCAATCAAACCACAGATCCAAGAGTTACTTAGAGAGGTGAAAAACGGTACGATGAGACAAGGTGCAAAAGCATGAGAATGGATGTTGTGTATGATGATGCATGATTGGTTCTCTGGCTCAATTGGGATGATTGGTTATGTCCGGAGAGAAAAAATTGGGGGAGGAAGGAGTAGATCTTGAGGTCAGGTAAGTTCTGGAGAGGAGCTTACAAATTTTCCTGAAAAAAAAAGCGCCTTAGTGGAGCGCCATTTTGTTTCAGCATTTTCTGCTTTTTTTTCAATCTGTTTCTAGCATTACGATGTCGTTATGGTGTCTTCTTTTCCTTTTTAATGACCATTCCTATTACATGTCATATTAAGATTGTATTATGACATTTTGCTAAAAGTGTCATAATAGGTGTGTCACTAAAGACTATTTTTGTAGTAGTGCATGTTCCATTCCAAAGTCACTTGGACACTTTGCGAGTTTCCATGGAGTTTGTCTCCTAGGAGCTAAATCTCTCTGGTATCAATCCATGGACCAATGTCCATTCAAACTTGTCTGCGCCATTAGAGGATTCATTCGAGCTCATCATAAAAGGAAAATTCTAGATTCTATTTCTTATTCTTTACCTGCGGTTCATTCATCATTTTTGCCATATTTTGAGCATGTTACTAGCCCTAACCCCTGTTGTTCTTGTGTAGATTTTGATGAGAAGTGTAAAGGACTAGTACTGGAACCTCAAGTTGAATCAATTGGTAGAAGAAATATTGAAGTGTCAAAGGGAGTTTTCACATTTAAATCTTGTTCTATACCTTCTTACCATTTAGTTAATAATGTACCATTAGTTTTTTATCCAATTTCTGAATTGTTTCAAGTTGACGGTTATTTTGTTTTTGTAGGTTGTAAAGCTGTCCAAAATTTTCCAACTATGACTAAAGAGTTACAACCTGATTTCATGCTTGTTTCAACTACATGTTGCGCGAAGGCATGTGATTCGTATGGGGTGAACTTCACTTCATTCCTGCCGCTTATGTTGGGTGATGCACGCAAGGTGTCAATCAAGATCCGAGTGCTGTTCTTACCTCACTGGTTCGTGTTTTTACGGATATGCAACACGGGTGGTTCAGTGTCCCACCTCCAGAGTGGCAGGTTGTGCCGATTCAGTGCCTAGGGCTGAATTACACCACCTTGTACAACCAGGTTCGAGACTTTTCTAGTTTCAATGAACATCGTTATGAAGTGCATTTGAATGTTCATGTTCGAAGGCTAATTAGCAAGGTTTGGGTTGCAACCTGGAACGTTCACAAGCTTTATACACGTTCCTTCCTACTTTAGCGAATGTCCTTGTTTGAGAACCCCTTGAAGCTGACTAAGAGACATGTGCACCGAATTATCTTAATCATAACATATGCAAGTATCAATCAATCTAAGAGGGCCACTATGCGGAGACTTGAGGTGTTACACTACCTACTCTCATTAGTATCATTCATTTCCATCCAGATTTGAGGACAAATCCTTCTCAAGTGGAGGGGACTGATGTGTGCACGGATCTTGGCCATGCAATGACCCTGTTCGAGTACCATTAGGCCTGGTCACACGTGCACGGGTTAAGCAATTCAAGGAATCACTCCAAACTCTTGTGCGAATATTCAAGACCAACAAGGAGTCCACCGGGCCATTAAAGGTTTGAAAGGTGACAACCAAGTTATCTACACCCTGCTCCAGCCCATAAGGAATCAAGAGGAGCCCACGAGGTCCCTGAGTAGAGCCGGCCAAGTATGGGCTTTATAGCCATGCATCTTAAGTCGTTGGTTAGAATTAGTTATTACGGAGTCATGGAATCGGCCCACTTAATTCAAGGCCTGGCCGAACCTTTATTACCCTTTTACTAGCATTAGGGTTTCGTTAGTTTGCCCATATAAAGGCTTGCTTTGTAAGCATTAAGGAGGGACTCGATTGATTAATCAAATTGTTCTTTTCCATTTTCTTATTGTGAGAATTTCGTTCCTTTACTTGCTTTGGCAAGGCTGTTTGAGCAATCTCGCGAAGGTCCTTGATTGTTCTACCGACCTATCCATTAGAGTAGTCACCTTTGTTGGAGTCATCATTCTACCACCTTCTACCAATTCGTGTCATCCGTGTTGGTTTTAGATTCCGCAACCCAAGTGTTGGACAATCTCGCTAGATCCTTGGACAACGTGCTACGTGTCTCGAGACGTGTTGATCGAGGAGCGTATCAGCAAGGGTTTGGTCGATTCGATAACGAAACCCGGGTCATTAGTTTTGTCGAGTGGAGTGTTATCTTCTCGACTAATCAGTATGATCGAGTATTACCACCGGTGTTTATCTTGGAGTTTGGACCCGGTAAGGGGTTTGGTTGATGGACGGAGATTGGAGTTAAATGTGTACTACTGGACTAGTTACCTTACTTGAAAGTTGACGGAGTGTCAACTACTATTTGATCAAGTTATGGTGGAGTTGATTTACAAAAGCAACTGTATCCTTTTACGGGAAATGCTGAATATTTAATGTTTGGCCATATGAAGTTTATTGCTTATTTTCTTGACTTGTTATACTCGCTATTTTACTATTCTGATACTTTTACTTTTAATTAATAGTCAATTTGCTATTTGGAACATCACTGAGCTTTACCTCACTCTATTAGTTTTGTTTTCCTTACAGGGGGTACGAGCGAGGCGTGAGACTTGTACAGGTTAGAGTAGTCTAGTTTTTTAAAATTTTGAAATTATACTCGCGCTAGCACCCGACTAGGGTTGGTTGTACTTGGATTGTAAACATGTTAATGTATTTTCGTATGTATAAGTCTTGTAGTTGGATCTGAGTATCAATGTATATATTAAAATTGAAATGGTTGTGTTATTTATTTTCCATGAATGTAAAGTTATTTTCTCGAGTTTTGATTGAGTGAGTCGTGGCGAGAGCTGGGCAAGCGCCTCGCTAAACCCTAGGTATGCTCTAGGGGGAGGTAGGGTCATCACATAGACTAGTAGTAGCAAATAATTACAGTTGGATTCAGCAATCCAAGCTTGTGAATAACATTATTGTAAAAGTTCCAATTGTCACTGCCTTTTGTTATGAGTGATTGGCCAAAAGGGTTTTGTTTGATGAATTCTTGTACATTATCAGCATCGGCCAATTTTTTCAAGTACTGTACAAAAGCTCCTTCAGGATCTGCAAATATTTGTTTTCAGGCTATTTGAACAATTTTAGGTTAGTTTAATAATACAAATTACAAAGGCAAGAAAAATGCTTCTAACCCAAATAATTGTCTTATATATTCGAAGATGTATAACAGGTGGGGAAGATGGCATTGTACGGCTAAACAATTCCAAATGGACAAAGTTAGAGCATCATCTAGATGGGAATACAAGAATATATCACATAAGGAAATTTGAGTTGGTACACTTATAGAATTAAGGAATATTTATGCGGAGAATCATCAACTAATAATGTGTTAGAGCTATTATATGATTTATAATCTCCCCAAACATCTTTCAGTCCCTTAAACATCACTTTTCTCCGGATTTTCCCTAAGTCTGGTTTCTGTCACAACGCAACGAGACTGATCCTGCAAAAATAGCAGTACCCAATAGAACATTGCCAGAAATTCTACTAAGAGACTGATTCTGAAAATCCTAATAATTACGAATGAAGTCTCACCCAAACAAAAATAAGTTTATGTTCAAAACGTTCATTCATTTGTATTGATATACTTTCCAAGACTGATTCAATATTATGCCTGGAAAAAAAATGAAATGCAGAAAATTAGGAGAACAAAAAAGAATACATAACATATGAATGCATTAATTCAAATATAGGTTGACACGGATACCTTAGTTTTGATGACCAAGCTACCACAACAAAATATGAGAAACAGACTTTCAAAAATTCAAAGCATGTGGTCTAAAGTTAAAGACACGATTTCTGGTCCTTCTAGTAAATGAATTGGCCAAAAGCACTCCATTCAAATCCAGAATAAGAAACTTCTTGTTTGAATCTTTATTAGAAGTAGCTTGAGGTTTGTTTGAACACAGTCTTCTACTTTCCACTAAAAAAAAATTATTACATAAAGCATTAGATCACTTGGTTTGTTATCATTTTGCAGAATTTCTCCAAAAAACTCTGTCTTATTATACCCCTCCACAGCAAGCTTATCAACATT